GTTACGGTATCCACCAAGCTGTGCAACCATCACCACGTTTCCACCACGGGATGTGGAGAAAAGGGAGCTCTCGTGCACTGTTGTTGGGAATGTAAATTGGTGCACTGTTGTTGGGGATGTAAATTGGTGCAGCCATTACGGAAAACAGCATCAAGTTTCCTCAAGAAATTAAAAATAGAACTATCATATGGCCCAGCAATCTCACCTCTAGATATATATGCAAAGGAAAGGAAATCTTTATCTCGAAGAGAGATCTGCCCACCGCCCATGTTCATTCCAGCGTTATTCACTATGGCCAAGACAGGGAAACAACCGACGTAGCTGTGCCTGGCTGGATGGGTAAAGAGCTGTGGTGTACACATATTATTCGGAATATGGAATATTATTCGGCCTTTAGAAAGGAGATCCTGTCATTTGCAACAACATGGATGAACCTGACATTATGCTAAGTGACATAAGTCAGAGAGAGAAGGATAGATACTTCATGGTAGCACTTATATATGGACTCTAAAACAAAGAAGTAGAACATGCAGCCAGTGTAGCTCAGTGGTTGAGCATCGATCCCTGCACCACAAGGTCACTGGTTTGATTCCTGGTCAGGGCACATGCCTGGGTTGCAGGCTTGATCCCCAGTGGGGGCTGTGCAGGAGGCAGCCAATCCATGTTTCTCTCCCATCGATGTTTCTATCTCTCTCTCCCTTCCTTTCTCTCTAAAAATCAATAATATATATATATATGCTTTTTTTTTTTTAAAGTAGAGCTCATAGAAACAGAGAACAGAGAAGTGATTGCCAGAGGCAATGGTTCGATTCCCGATCAGGACACATGCCCAGGTTTCAGGCTCAATCCCTAGTGTGGGGCATGCAGGAGGCTCATCATCGATGTTCCTATTTCTCTCTCGCTCTCCCTTCCTTTCTGAAATCAATAAAAATATATTTTAAAACTTAAAAAAAAACACTTCCATCACCCCAAAAAGAAACCCTACACACGTTAGCAGTCACTCCACATCCCCCTCCCCATCAGCGCCCTCCAACTCCTACGAGTTGCATGCAGGGGAGGTCCTCTGACCTAGAACTCAGGCCCTCACTGGAACCCCAAGATTTCTTGGCATTAGCTGAACCTCAAGTTCTGGAACCAGAGAGAAGTCACCTGGAAGCTCCAGTGGAAACCCAGCTAACTCAGTTAGTCATGAATGATGTTAATGAATCCTTACATCGATCTCCCCAAATATACTGGTAGGGTAGGGCCCCTCTGGCTGGGTAGGCCTTGTGACTTCTTCTGGTCAATGAGCAGTGAGCAGAAATGCAGTATAATTTCCAGGCCAGAGCATTTAATTGCTGGGGCCCCAGAGATCTCTTTCCCCTGCTACAGAGGCCTGAACCATTCCAGGCAGTGGCTGCTGTATCACCTTGGTGGAGTGGGGCACATGGGGAAAAACTCCCAAGTGACCTGTCATGGGTATATCCTGGGAGCAAGAAATCAATTTTGCATTGTTTAAGGCCCTCAAGATTTTGGGGTCATTTGTTACTGTAACTTATCCTGACTGATACACCAACCCATCCACGTAACCTGGCTCCCGCCAAGGTCTCTATATTAGTTTGCTGGGGCTGCCATAACAAAGGACCACAGACTGGGGGCTGCAATAGAAATGTATTTTCTCCCAGTTCTGGAGGCTGATGTTCAAGATCAAGGAGTTAATAGAGTTGGTTCCTTATGAGGCTGTGAGGGAGACTGTCCCACGCCTCTCTCCTAGCTGCTGGTGTCTTGGTGTTTGTTGGTACATGATGTTCTCCCCGTCTTCCCATGGTCTTTCCTGTGTGTGTGTGTGTGCGTGTGTGTGTGTGTGTGTGTGTGTGTGTGTGTGTCCAAACTTCCTCTATGTATCAGGATACCAGTCATGGTGGATTAGGACACCCCCAAAGACCTAGTTATCTCTTTAAATATCCTCTCTGCCTGTAGAGTCACATTCTGAGTGCTGGGGCTTAAGACTTCAACATATGAATTGAGGGGCACAATCCAGGTTATAACAGACTCCATTCCAACTCCAAGGTGCCAGGGGTCCCATCCTGCCCAGGATGAGTGAAGGCTGATGCCAGTCTAAGTTGGTGAGACTTGGGACATCTTAGCAGTAGGTTCTAGGGGGCTCCTTCTAGGTCCATGGAGGACTTCTTTCCTGGGGATCAAGTGCTGCTCCCAGGACTGCAGACTACAGTGGAAACCTCCACAAACCCACCCCTGGGGAACAGCACAGGATGGTGAGTAAGCTTACGGACATGAGCCCTGACTCCATCTCCCAACAACTGTGCAACTTAGACACCTCTCTGAGCCTCTGTTTCTTCTTTTAGAGCAGTGGTGCTCAACCTTCTGGCCCTTTAAATACAGTTCCTCATGTTGTGACCCAACCATAAAATTATTTTCGTTGCTACTTCATAACTGTAATGTTGCTACTGATATGAATCGTAATGTAAATATCTGATATGCAGGATGGTCCTAGGCGACCCCTGTGAAAGGGTCGTTCGACCGCCAAAGGGGTCGCGACCCACAGGTTGAGAACCACTGTTTTAGAGGATCATGACGTGTTCTCCTTAGAGCTACTATGAGAAATCAAAGAGAATATACCTGATATATGGCAATCCTGCCATAATCAGTTACCACTGCTATTGCTGCTGGTGGTGTTCATATGTGCTTAAAAGAAAGGGAAAATTGCCCGGCCAGTGTGGCTCAGGGGTTGAGTGTTGACCTATGAACCAGGGGGTCATGGTTTGATTCCCGGTCAGTGCATGTGCTCAGGTTTTGGGCTCGATCCTCAGTAGGGGGCATGCAGGAGGCAGCCAATCAATGATCCTCTCATCATTGTTTCTATCCCTCTCTCTCTCTCCCTTCCTCTCTCTGAAATCAATTTTAAAAAACATATTAAAAGGGGAAATTACTGTGGTTTCATTGTGGTTCAGAGAGTGTGGGAGACACCTCAGGCATCTTTTCCTTGTCTTCAGGGCTTGATCTCATTCAACAAACATTGATTGAGCACCTACCAAGAGCCAGGAGCTCTTCTGTGAAGGTTTCTTTCTCACATCAATGTTTCTCTCTCCTCACTCTCTCCTCTCCTACACCCCTCCCTTCCACTCTCTGTAAAAATCAATGGAGAAAATATCTTCACTTCTTGGATCAGGGGAAAAAAAAGAAAAGGCATTTTCCAGTGAGCACCTAGGACGTGCTAGGCACTATGCCGGGCACAGGGGTGGGAGGGTGCACAGCAGGCCCTAGGAACTGGAAGAAACAGGAATTCAAATCAGGTGGTTTGATCCAGGCCAGTGCCCCGCGCTGCCGCCCCGGGCTACACATACTCTCCCTGGTTTATGGGCGAACTGTGTCCCTCCCACCCCAATTCATGTTGAAGTCCTAGTCCTCAGAGCTTCAGAATGTGAGTGTTTTGGAGACAGAGTGCTTAAAAGGTAATTAAGTAAAAAATGAGCCTGTTATGGCGGCCCTGACCCAATATAATGGGTGTCCTTAGAAGAAGAGATTACGACACAGACACACAGAGGGAAGACCATGCGGAGGCACAGGGACAAAGTCCAAGCGGAATCAACCCTGCAGACACCTTGATCGCAGGCCCACAGCCTACAGACCCTGATAATAAATCTCCACGCCCCCAGCTGTGGTGCTTTGCCTGGTAGCTGGGACTCTGGGACACTCCAGCCCCTCTCGAGCTCAACCCAAGCCCCCCTGGAAGAGCAGTGCCCCAAGCGCACAGTCACCAGAATTAGGGAGGAAGCCCACCTCACCCAGCAGGTTCAAACTGCCAGGCTCTTCAAGGCCAGGAGGGAAGCTTAGAGGAGCCTGTAGAGACAGCACCCACACACAGTGGGGCCGACACACAGCCCCAGGGCTGTTCTTACTGGCCACGTTCTCCCTGGACTTCTCTCTCCACAGCACCAGTCTCCACCATTGTCCTGACACTCAGAAGTGTTCCTGGCACAGCTCTCTCCTAAGTGCCCACCCCCAAATGTCCAGAGCCCCGGCCGCTCCCCTGATGTCCCTTCAGCTCCTCAAACTCAACAAGTTCTAAATGGAGTCCGACAACTTTCCCGCCCCTCTCCTTCCCCCTCCTTCTGCCTTGGTAAAATGTTCCCCCACCACCTATGCCAACCTCCCCTCATCCTCCTTGGCATCCCCAACCCCGCCTCCCCCACTGCCCACTAATCTCTCTGTTCTGCCCAATTTTATTGTAAATGTTTCTTGGGCATTGTCTCTCCTCACCGTCTCCACGTCCGCTGCCTAATTTAGGCCTCGTCATCTCTCCCTGGTCTCTGGCCTCCAGCCTTGTCCCCCTAATCCAACCCTGCTGGCAGGAGAGCCCAGTAATAGAAACGCCTGATGAGGCAGATGCTATCAGCACCCCCACCTCATAGGTGAAGCAACTGAGGCCCAGAGTTTTGTTGAAAGGCCGGACTGGGGTTTCACATAAGGCAGTTTGGCTCCACACTCTTAAGCTCTTTGCCAACATGCCAGGACAGTGGGCAAGAGTGCACAGTAGGGACTGGCTCATTCTGTGTGACCTCAGCTGAGCACACAGTAGGAACAATGCCTGGGAAACAGAATAAAGTCACTGAACCCTGTGCCTGTGTGTACCTGTATATTTACATGTGCATGCACATGGCGTGTCTCCCAGGAACCAGACTCAGCAGTGCACATGATAGGAACATACAGAAAACTTGGAGTACCTGCACACAGTATGACCAGCCCAGGGGCGGGAGAATGAGTGGCGTCAGGACAGGCACCTGGGGACATCTGGGACCCCCAGGGCGGGCAGGTAGCATCGGGAGGCCCTGTGGTCAGTAGTGGGACTACAGGTGAATTCTGGGATGGCACTCACAGCTCATGAAGCTCAGCCAGAGGCTGGGTGATGGGTCACTGTGGCAAGCCCCAGCCCCAGCTGTCCTAAGCATGGAAGGTGGGGTGCGATACCCCCTGAACCCAAAGAATGACATGGGCCCTCCTCCGAGAATAGAGGTTTATTGGGAATGACTGTTCAAGGTCCTCAGTGCAGTGCCGCCCTCCTCTTGGAGGGACAGCAATCCAGTGTGTGGGCCCTGGAGGTCCCGGGAGACCAGGGAGGCCACAGGCACAGCAGCAGGCGGTGGGGGAGCAGCCCCCTCGGGGCCCCGCAGCCCAGCTCCGGGGGCCCTGTGGTCCTCAGGTGTCTGCGGGCGAGCTGGAAGCGTCCTGCGGCAGGCAGCGCCGGTGCCTGAGCACCGTCTTGTCCTCCTCCTGCGGAACAGGAGCCCCCACATGTCACACAGAGCAGGTCCCGGGACAGGTCACTCCGCACAACCACCGTGTCATCCGCCCGGGGCCCGGGCAGCTCCTCTCACCATCTCAGAGGCGGTGCTGGGGCTGGCCCCCTCGGGGGAGCCCCCTTCGTCCCGTGAGCAGTCGGGTCCTGCGTCCTCCTCGTACTCCGTCAGGCAGTCTGACTCCTCCCCTGGAATCAGGGAGCAGCGTGACAGTGAGGGGACATCCCATTGACCCCGGGCCTGGCCCCGCCTCTGGAAGCGCCCTCACCATCAGCACAGCCATCAGAAACATAGCTGGTGGGGGGCTCGATCCGGGACACGATCTCCGCCAAGTCAGTGAAGCCAGAACTGGGGAAGGCCAGCACCTGGGGGACAGGGGTGAGGTCTCAGAGGCTCCGTGGTGTCCTGGGGGACTGTGCCTTGGGGACACGTCCTGAGGAGAGTTCTCTGGTCGGAGGAGCTCAGAGAAACCCAGGGAGTCTGGGGTCACCTGAGGTTTGGAGACCCAGAGGGGCTGGGGGGTCCCCGGCTTACGTCTGCACGGCGGCTCTCAATCAGGTCCGCAGAGCGCCGGTCTGTGAGCATCTTCTCAATGACGTCGCCCCGGCTCCAGCCCCCAAACACAGCCTTCCCGTACTGGTAGCCCACATCCTGCAGGAAGAAGGGGACGGGGGCCATCCACGCTGCGACTCCCCCAGATGCTCCCCGCCTGGTCCGCTCGCTTAGCCCCACGTTGCCTGCCCCTGGCCTGGCCCCTCGAAAGCTGCTGCTTCGGGAAACTAGCATCGAGGCTAACCCTATTTTGGAGTCAGCCGTATGTAGCACTCTTGGCCCATGTCCTCCATCCTGTGCCCCTCCCAGACATTACCAATCCATCACTTCATGTTCTTTCCCACTCATCCCCATGCAGTGGGCCAAGTACCAAATGGCTTGAGATGGTGGTGGCAACCTTATTTCAAGTTCTCCAAATGTGCAGTCTATTTGTGGGTATCGCCAGCTCCCATACCCAGAACAGACACCACTAATCCACCAGGGCACACTGTCCCCGTCAGCCCTGAAAGAGCATCAGACATGTTGTACCCAGGTCTCTGGGCAGCAGCTAACGATCCGTTTTAGGTGGCACGGGCTACGGCACATTCTTCAGGGCCAGTGGCACATGACACACACACTGCTCCTTCCCTCGCTTACCTGTGGCAGGCATTACTAGTTGATCACTGTCCCCATGCCCACCAATGCAGAAATCTCTACACAGTGCTTCAGGTAGTGCAGCTGGCACATAAGCAGCTTAGTTCATACACAGCATGTGGGCAGCGTGTTCCATTGCCACGTCAATACAGACATCACTAACTGATTACTGTTCTATTCCCCACAGTTCCCATTTGGGAAGGGAGTCCTAGAACCATTCCCCTCGTGTTGCTCTGGGCGTTCAGTAGTAAAGCTCTGCCGGCCCCGCACTGATACCAGGCCACTCCCACCCACTCACATAGATCTGGTCGAACTTCCCGAAGTCCATGGTCTTGAAGCAGTCGATGGGGGGGCGCAGGTACTCGCAGTAGGAGCTGGACTTGACAACCTCCAGCTGGCGTACGCAGGACACGTAGGCCAGGCGGGACTGAATCTCAGCCATGTCTGGAACCTTGATCTTATCCGTCCAAGGGTTTAGCCGCTTCCACAGCAGCCACCAGCCAGACAGGCTGTCCCCGTAGGTGCTGAGGTCTGTCTCGTCCTGGCTCCCGACGTCAATGGCAATGACTGTCTTGGCACCCATGCTGCGGGCGATGTCCGCTGTGGGGCCAGGGGGTCAGCGGGTGGCTCCCCACCAGGGCCCAGAGCAGAAAAGTTCAACCCAGTTCCACAGACACCATCATGCAATGTCACGCAAAACCCATGCAAACAGCATGTTGGCATGCAAATGGCATGGAACGTGATGCCCATGATGAGGAGAAGACAGGGTCAGATGGCGGAGCTTTTAGAGGTGAGGAACCACGCCAGAGGGATGTAGGGGTTGGAGACAGAGGGATAAAATTGCTGGGGAAAAGGCAGGACAGAGAAGTGGGAGGAGAGTGAGGCAGAGAGACAGAGCCATAAGGACACCTGGAGACGGAGATGCAAGAGGGGAAGACGGCAGGAGACGGGCCGCAGAGAGAAATGCAGGGGAGCAGAATCAGCAAGAGGTTTGGGGAGGAGAAAGAGATCAAGAGTTAGAGAAATGGAAGAAGAGAGAGTCTGGGGCTGTGACAAGGGACAGAGAGCCAAGAACAGGAAGGCAGAACGGAGGAGGTGATGGGGAGGGCCCGGCAGGGAGGGTGGTGTGTCCGTGGGTCCATGTGGCCCACTGAGGGGCCCTGAGTGGGTCTGGGGAAACCTGAGGGGACAGGGACAGGGTCCTATAACCACACTCAGCCCAGAAAAACAGTCTGTGTCAGACTTTGCATGTGTCCCTCAGGAGCTGGTGTGTGAGTCTGAGTGCGCACGCCCACAGCTGGTGTCCCTGCTGTCTGTGCGTGTCTCCGGTCCACGTGTCCCTGTGAGCACACACACCTCTGGGCATGTCTGTATTCATTTAAGTCATCATGCACCTAGATCAACGTCTGTTTCCTGTGCGTCCGAGTACGCCTATCCACCTACGGGCTTACACACACGTGAAGGTGTGTGGTTATGTTAGTGCAGGTATGTGTACAGAGTGCCTATACAAGAGTTGGCAATTTTTTTCTGGAAATGGCCAGCAAGAAAATAATTTCAGCTTTGCAGGCCACATGGTCTGTGTCACAACTACTCAACTATGCTATTATGGCAAAAAAGCAGCCACAATGAGTAAATGACTGGGTGTGATTGTATGTCAATAAAACTTTATTGACAAAATCAGGCAGGGGCCGATTTGACCTTCAGGGCAGAGTCTGCCAAGCCCTGGCAAACAGGATTGCAAGTGTGTGCGCAGCCAGTGAAGGTGTCTGCTTGTGCGTGCACGTGTCCAGGCAGGTAAAACTTTAAATTGCAAACCTGCCTGCCTCTTATCTGCACACAAGTCAGAGGGCGTGAAAAGATGCTTGACTTGGTCTCGCAGGTGCCCCCCCACCTCAGTGTGTACGCTGATGCACGTCTTAGGAAGCATGAGGGTGAGTGTGGACAGACTGGCGTGAGAGCACGTGTACCCAATTTCATTAATGCGTGTGTTTTTATCTGTGCACATGCATCTAACCTGGCGCACACGAGTACCCTACCTGCCGTCTGAGCATCTATGACAATGTGCACGTCAGCAGATGCACGTTAAGATGTCCCGTTCTATCCCATGTCCGGTGCTGTGTGTACATGTCTGTGTGCATTCATCTGCATCTTACATGTGGGTACACTTTCCACCTGCACATTCCTGTCCTCGGCTCATCCACGTATCTGCTTGCGCATCTAAGTGTGTGTGTGTGTGTGTGTGTGTGTGTCCAGAGCCCTGCACCGGTCTGCTTGCACACACGTCCTCCTGGGCGCCTGTCTGCATGTGCGCCTGTGCATGGGCCCACTCGCTCACTGTTTGCCTGTGTGCATGTGTGTGCACATGAGCGAGCGGGCAGCCACTTGCCTGGCAGGTTGTTGATGTAGCCGCCGTCCATGAGGAGGTGCCCGTCCTTGGGGTCGCACAGCGGGGGCAGGTAGCCCGAGAGCGTCATGCTGGCGCGCACGTATCGCCATAGGGAGCCTGCCCAGTGGGACACACAGACACAGACACGCACAGACACTCTCAGACACGCTCAGAGGCCCGGCCAGCCCGGTGGGCTCGCTGACCTGGCACGTTGTTGACGTAGCACCCGTCCACCAGCAGGTGCCCGTCCTTGGGGTCGCAGAGCGGGGGCAGGTAGGGGCAGTAGGAGGCACTGGCCCGGACGTAGCGCCACACGCAGCCTGCAGGGATGGCGTGAGCGGGTGAGCTGCCCGACTATTTCCCGGTCCCCACCCTGAGGACAGACCTACCTGGGACCTCTGGGGCATTAGTGGGTGATGGTTAGTGCTGGCAATCAGGTCAGGATGGACGGTCACTCGTGTTAACAGTGTCCCAGACACTTGGCTGCCCTGCCTGCCCCCCTCCCCACGTGGCCACAGATGCTGTGGGGCCAGCCAGGGGCACCCACCATCTTTGTGAACACGCATGGCCGAGGCAGTGATGTCCGTAGTCACGTTGAAGTATGGCAGCCACAGGTCCTATGAGGACGAGGACCAAGGTTGGGGAGGAGTGGGGACACGTGTGGACAGGGCAGGGACAGAGCGGGGTGGGAGAGGGCGCACCTCAATCTGCTTGTCCTGGAAGACGCGGTGGATGCTGCGGTTGAAGGCTGACCCCGTGAACATGGACGTGGCGGGGTAGGTGAGGTCCAGCATGGGCTCCAGCACGGAAGTCATGCTCTAGGGGCAAGGGGGGCAGCTGGGGTGAAACAGGAGTCACCTGGGTCACTAACAGGTGGTCACTAAGAATGCCGACTGCTCAAGCTGGGGACTGGGGCTGAGGTCACTAGCCAAAATGTGGTAGGGGTCATCCAAAGTCCGGAAGGGACTCCGTTAAGCGTCCACAAATTAAATGAGGAAAAGGTTGGCAGAAACCCAGAAGCTCCCATGGGATCGTTTTAGGGTGCTTCTGGGATGGGGAGGCCCCCCCCACACACACACCTTGGCCCACTCTCGGGCCCGCTGCTTAGTTCGGCTGGCGCTTCGCTCTTCGGCATATAGGGCCCCAATGAAGGAGCCGATAGAAGTGCCGCCCACTAGGTCGACAGGGACCCCCGCCTCTTCTAATGCCTTCAGCACCCCAATGTGTGAGCAGCCCCTGCAAGGAAGAGGAGCCCTGGTGACCCGCTGGGAATCCCTTTGGCGGCACCCCCAGGAGAGGCCCTTCTCGAACTCCCCCACTGACCCCTATGGGATCTCATCCCGTAAGCTCCACCCCCGGGCACCGCTACACCCCCTCACCTGGCTCCGCCCCCTCCCAGCACCAGGGCGATGGTGTTGCCGGTGAGCACCCGCGCCAGGCGGGAGAAGTCGCTGTGCCGGTCCACGCGCCTGGAGAACACCTTCTCATACAGCTCGTGCTGGGATGAGGACAGAGGCGACCCGTAAGAACGGGGTGCAGAGGGAGCATCGGGGTGCCGCGGGGCGGCAGGTCCCTAAGCCACGCCCCCCGTAGCCACACCCCCGCTAAGTCCGAGGAGGGACCTTTTCCTTGGATCCCGCCCTCACCAGTTTGGCGGGACTGCGACGCGAGAACAGGCGGCGGGGACAGCGCAGGTGCAGGTGCCCCGAGCACCAGCTGCGCATGTTGAGCCACTCCACGGTGCGGGTGGGGCCCGGGCCCTCCTCCCGGTGCAGCAGGACCAGCTGCTTGAGGGCGCGCACGGCCGTGTTCTCCAGCATCTGCTCCAGCTGCCGGAGAGCCGAGGGCGGGTGTCACCAATCACCAGTCGTTTCCTCCTCGACTGGGGCCCCTAAGATTTAGCCTCGCCCCACAGTGAGGGTGCATGTGGCACTGGTGCAAGCACTGGAGGGGAGGGGGCGGCCCGGGAGTGGGGTCCCTGGGGACGGTCTCCAGACCTGGCCCAGCGTGGGCTCCTGGTCGCCCAGGCCCACGATGAGGATGCAGTCAGCCTGGCGCAGGCAGCGCACCGTCCAGGGCGTCAGTGAGGAGTCTGTCTGGTAGAGCACAATGCGGTGGGTGTCCTCCTGCTGGGCCAGCCATCCCGACAGCCGAAACTCTTGGATGCTGAGTGGGGGTGGGGCGGGGAGAATCATCTGGGGCTGGTCAGAGACCATGACAAGGCCACTGCTGGGGGGGAAGGACTAAACACCTAGGCTCCCACACACACCCCTCCAGGGCGGATTCATTCCACTAACTAGATAGGGGGGAGCATGTTCCTCAGCCCACAGCCTAGATCTGAACTTGCAGCTGAAAGAATCCTAGACTCAAGTTCATCCCTCACACCCACCCCCTGCACCCCAACACACACCTGTCCAGTGCGGAGGCGCCCAGGCGTGCCCGGATGATGTCACTGTTGAGGAGGAGGGTGGGGCCTGAGGATGGGTAAGGAAGAGAGGTTAGGAGCCCAGGTCAACAGCGCTGGGGCCTCTCCCAGAACAGAACACCCCCGACCCCACTCCCGTGGCCCTGTTCTGCCCCACCCCCCATGGACCCGCGGGGCATCTCCACTCATTGGCCAGTGCCCCACCCACAGGCGCCTTGCCCCGCAGATCCGACTGACCGATGGCTTGCAAAGCATGCTGGAGCTCCAGTGTGAAGGCCACCATGGGCACCTCCGCACACACAGGCAGGACTGCTACCGTGGCCAGGTTGCTGGCTGGGTTGGTGAGTTCCGAGTGAGGGGGGACGCCCAGTCCCGAGCCTGCTGAGACCCCAAAGGATGAAATCTGCTGTGCAGCCGTGTCCCGAGAGGGAGCCCTCCTCCTCCTTCTCAGAAACCCCTGCCCCGTGTCCCGCAGCTGAGGCTCAGTGAGGCCACAGTGAAGATCCTGGGCCACACGTGACAGGACTTGGCCACCCAACCTTCCATTTTGGCTCCCATGTCCTCAGTGGCCCTCACTAAGCACATCGCAGCCTCTGATTCCCACAGGGCCTGCAGGCACCCATGGTGCCCGCCTATGCTGGCCTGGGTGCCCTGTCCACTGAAGAGACTTGAACACAAAACTAAGCAGAAACAAATACACCTCTGGCCCATCTACTGCTTCCCAGCGTCTCCACTGACACCTCACACTCCCACTAACCGCCAGGGTGCGGAGCCTCGCACTGCCTCCAGCTGCTTCCCACACACTCTGAACGGCTCCAATGCCTTTCCAGGGCCCCTCGCCCCTGTGCGACTTGCCCTGGCCGTTTCTCCCCATCACTCACTGTCCTCCTCCAAGTATTTCAAAACCACCAAACCCTGTGTGCAGAACCTTCAAAGTTCTCTTCAATGTCCGGCCCCATTTCATTTATCAAGTCTCAGCTCTCTGTCCTCTGAAAAGCTGGTCACCCTCAATCAAGACCCTGTTTGTTGTCTTCACAGTGCTTGTCTGATGTTTTGCCTGTGGCTGTAAACCGCTCTAGGGCCTGCTGTGCACTCTCCCGCGCCCATGCTGGGCACAGTGCCTAGCACCACTAGGTGCTACTGGAATATGCCTTTTCTTTTGTTGTTCCCTCACCGGAGGAGTGAAGATATTTTTCCCATTGATTTTTAGAGAGAGTGGGAAAGAGGGTGTGGGAGGGGGAGGGAGGGAGAGGGGAGAGAGAGAGAGAGAGAGAGAGAGAGAGAGACATTGATTGGTTGCCTCCTGCTCTTGTCCTGATGAGGGCGGGGGATTGAACTGCAAGTCGGGGACCGATGCTCTCACCGCTGAGCAAACTGGCCAGAGCACAAATGCCTTTCCTGGAGCATCAGCAGAGAGGCTCCTGGAAGCCCAGCATCTTAACGGCCCAGCCCCAAGGCTGCCCAAGCATCACCCCCAGGAATGCTCCAGCATTTGTATACAGTACAATTCAGGGCTGTGGCGGAGGGGGCACCTGACCATGGGCAGGAGGCGCTTCTCGGCCACTGCTCACCACTGCCGCCACCCCGGGGGGGCGGGGGGGCAGGAGTCAAAGCTGATGGGGCAGAAGGCCCTGGGGTAAAAGGGAGGCAAAGAGGCTGCCGGTCTCAGTCCCATATTTCCATACAACTCAAATCCGACTCCATGGAAATCACACCTCCCAGCTGCTGGCAACGTCAGAGGCCCCTTCTCCACATGCCCCGGGGCCCAAACACCACCCCAGGAACCCATTTCCCAGCATACCCTCTTCTCCATCCTTCAGCCAAGTCCTGCCGCCTAGAACAAAGCTCGCCCCTAAAACTCTGCCCCCTCAACAGAGGCGACATTTTAGATTCCATAGCAAGTAGCCCGAGTCTAACTCCGTTCCCGGCAGGCCGGGACCCTACCTCCCTCCGGCAGGGCCGGAGCTCCAAGCCCCCCTTCTGCAAACGCCCAGAGCTGGCCTTGGTTTCCCAGCACGCCCTGGGCCAGGGCGCTCTCCCAGCAAGTCCCAGGTGTCGACGACATCCCCGCAGCATCTGGGGCACCTGCCGGATCTCACCTGGGAAAGGTCCTTGCAGCTGCTGCAAATTCCCCAGAATTTTCTGGCTCAGCAGGTGAATGAGGCGGGTCACGACCTGGAGCGTTGAGATCGGCGGTCCAGCGGGACTGGAGGGGCCGCAGTG